CGGGGGTCCCGGCCGAGCGGGGCCTGGCGCGGCTCTGCCCGCCGCGGGGCTGCGCCGGTCCCTCCCGCTGTGCGCTGCCTGCGGCTGCGGTCGCTGCTCATGCCTGGGACTGTGGTGGCATCAGCAGTTCCTCGGCCTAAGGGGGTGGTATTTACGCCGGCAGGCTCCGAAGCGACCGCAGAAAGCGCTTCCTCAACGGTCTGTGTGAGCGGGCGCTCCGGGAGCGGGGCGGGCTCCACAGCCTTCCCGGGTGGGAGAGAGTAACGGCAGTTCGCTTCAAGACATCAGCTGTAGGAAAATGTTTCCCTCTGTGGCAGCATAACAGAGTCTCAGATCGTTATTTCTCTTTTATTTCCTTGAGCTGCTGGCCAGCGTTTTCATTTTCAACTCCTGATTCTCCTTTTCCCCTCTCCTCTTCCTAGAGCAATCATGTTTGAAATTAAGAAGATTTGCTGCATTGGTGCTGGTTATGTCGGTGGGCCAACCTGTAGTGTTATTGCACAGATGTGTCCCAGTATCAAAGTTACTGTTGTGGATGTCAATGAGGCCCGAATCAATGCCTGGAATTCCGAAACTCTCCCAATCTATGAGGTAAACTTGTCTCGCTGTTGTCTCTTCTTCCCGCCAGTGTTGCATTTGCTTCCCTCCTACCGCATGGCATTTCCACATGGCCCACTTCTGAAGCTTGATAAGTATAGCACGGTGATGTCCTTCAAAAAGAGTATTCTGGAACAGCTGCTTGTCTCGACTGCTCATTAAACCAGATTTTTGAAATAACTTAATATGTATGGTGCAGGCCGGTATTTCAGGGTCATGTATGAAGGGCCTAGTAGGGAAAAATGTAACTGTATATATAGTGAATTGTGCTAAATCATGCTGACTTTCTTTTGGGACCCTATTTAATCATAACATAGTCCTCTTACTCAGTTATAGATATTATCTGCTGCATTGTAGCACAGTATGAGTGTGTAATACTGAGTGGTAAGCTTTATTCCCATTCTGAATACTGCGAAATGCCATCTGTGCTGCCCGTCTTAACCACGTTGTAAGATGGGGACAGTCATGTTCCTGATTCACTTGTACCATAAACCTCCAATCTGGCCTGGGAAGACTAGGCCAGATAAAAATTATTTTTAAATGTATTGCACTGTCGCTCCTTCATTACAGAATGACTTTAATTTAAGATATAGAAAGCATTTTTCTGTTTTGCTTCTCTTGGCACTTGTTATTTTTCATTCTTTTTCACCATTAAAGAATAGGGCTCTTTCCTTCATCCTTTCATGAGATATAGTTTTTATAGGTTTGAGCTCTTTTCTTTAATGAGAGTGAAAACTTATCTTCACTGGGGTCCCAAAGACAAGGCATGTTGCCTGGTACTAACAGTTACTCTTTTGCTGTAAGGAGTCTTCTGAATCCTGCCTGTGCTGTAACACTAATGCAGTTGGGTTTTTTCCCTCTTAAAACCAAACCTATACTGTGACTCTTTAAGTGAAGATGAATAGGCCTCCTTTGTCATACTTATTCAGAGGAAAATATGTATAATGCTCAGATTAGCAGGTGAGACACGAATAAAGATTGTGAAAGCAAGTACTTTGTTTCCTATAAACAGACTGAATGAGTTAAAGTAGAGCTAGTCTTGGCATGTTTTTAAAAAAAAAACCCAACAACTAAATGCAAACTCATAACATCTGTTTCCTGGAATGGTGTCCTTTGCTTACAGAGAATGTACAAAAGCTGCCAAGAATTAGTTCAGACAGTTATAAAATTGAGTCATTGCACAGTGAGGTTTTCTGTATTTTTTTTGTTTGGGGATTTTTCTTTTCAGTGTCAGAAATTGTCTAGTGGGCTGCCTTTCTATTTACATCCCAGTAAGACCATAGTTGGAACATTTGATGGGTTGTAATACATATTATTCTGCCTGTGCTGACCTTTGTTTTCCTTTTAAGTAGGTATTTGGTATAAAGTGAGACAGCAAAAATGTCTTGCCTAAGAAAGCTTCTGCTTTGTTTTCTTCTCTCTCCCTCCAGTGAACCTTTGCCTTTCTGGCACTTACTCAAATATCTCATGTCATGATAGGTGTCTCAAGTTGGAGATTTGATTGCCAGGTTACAGTGTATGACTTTATTTTTCAAACAAAAAATAAAGGTTTCTTTTATCTATGACAACTATATCTTAGTTAAATCATTTTGTAGACCATTCTAATATGGGGGATTGCTCATGTACACCTGGCCTCCTGCTCCTCTTGTCTGAGTGGAGGTGCTAAGGGAAAGGAAAGTGATATGGCACAGTATGTGTCTCTGGAAAGAGTCTCATCAAATTGTGCCTGTGATTCTTCCATGCTGCAGGTGTTGTGCCATGGTAAGTTTAATCTGGTCCAAAGATGGGTGGTTGCCAAAAGGAGTGGTCTTTATCTACTGTGTGTCTCCCCTGCCTTTCTTTCACTGGATCTGGGCTTGCTAATTTGGTGGAAGACTTCTTTGTGGGTGGTGGGGGGTTTTTTTTGTGCTGAATCAGTTTTAGATCTGATGTTGGGGAGATCATGGAACGTGTAGCTGAAAGGAAAAGGAGAGTTTGGACCACCTCTTTTGTTTGCAGCTTAGGGAATATTGTAAGACTTTACTTCTTGAATCTACTTAACATCACTCTATCAGTATTTCTTTAATTGTTGCTCATGGTAATAGAATTGAGCATGGGAATAACTGGAGTCTAAAATCTGGTTGTGCAAATAACAATTCAGTGTGGCTGAAACTTTTGAGACAGCATTTTGTGTGTTTTGAATAAGAAAGGGCTTTATTTTTTTCATTATTAAAATCTACAGAAGCTTTACTTTATATCTGGCAGACTGAAAACATGCCACACTGAGGAAAAAAAAAAAATCTTTCTGTATCTGAAATGATATGCTATTTGTTTGGGCATGCGGTTTACTGTTCTTCTAACTGCATTAATCTTAACTTTTTCCTGCTTTTTTCAGCCAGGGTTAAAAGAAGTGGTAGAATCCTGCCGAGGAAGAAACCTCTTCTTTTCCACCAGTATTGATGATGCCATTAGAGAAGCTGATCTTGTATTTATTTCTGTAAGTTTAGGGGGAGAAGATGGTTGTATGTGTTTGTCTTTTTTTTTTTTTTTTTCTTTTTCTTCCATATCAAATAATTATGTTGCTCTTATGTTAGGAAGAGGCTTTTGTTTTGTCATATAGATTCGGTTAGCAATGTCATGTCACTGTGTCAGTTTTCTCCTTGTCTTTCTGTGTACGGTGGGAAAAATGCTAAGTAACCTTTTTATTTTATTTTTGTCTGTTTCTTATAGCCAGTAGAACATTTGACAAATGAACAGGCTCTAAGTCAAAATTATGTTGATGTTTAGCTTGGTTAGATGTATGGGGTCTTAGAGCAGCATATAGTGCAGATCTGTCACTGCAGCGTACAACTGAGATCTATGGGACTTTAATAATACTGATACGGTTCTTAGATAGGGATGCAAAGTCATATACCGATTATTGGGTTACAAAGATGACTTCTAGAAGCTTTTAAGAAACAGTGTATCAATGGAAGAGGGGCTGTTTTTAATATTTTCTAGCTTTAATATGTCTAAGCTGTTGACACCACTAGGAAGAGGATCCAATCAAACATAAACTGTGTGAACTTTTGTAATCTAGAAGGTTGTTCCTAATGCAGAATCCGAAAGAACTAATTGCTATTCATCTTGGTAGGCCACAGTTGAGTTTTTTGTTACTTAAGTCCTCTTTTCTTGAGAGCTCCTTTTTGTTAGGGCACCTCAGTACAGAGCTCTCTTTTCTGATAGTATTTTTCTCCATTAAGTCTAAAATGAATGCTACTTGGCTGGATGACTGCCACTAATACAGCCCATATATTGCCACCTGTCCTTGGCTTAAAACATGCTGTTGTGTTTTACGTGTTGTTGCCATTTCTTCTTTCAGTTTGTAATGAAAAGGACCCTCTGTCTTAATCTAAATGATGTGTTTTCCCTCACGTTGCCTTTTCTGTGTACTGCAGTATAGCAGTTTTCAGCAGCTCTACACTTAGGTTTCACTGCAAAGTGGGTTTAAACTGTAACTGCCTCACTAGCTGCAAGATTCTTACATGAATTTTCACACCCCTGATGTGGGACAGGAAACAAAAGGTGACTGGCTGTAATCATGAAGAAATTACTGGTGTTTCCAGACTAAGAACCAAGTTTCACTGAAGCCTGCAGAGCTGCTATGAATTGCTCTTGTTTAAATTCTGTTTGAATAGAGGTCAATGAGCTTTCTTTAGAAGACAAAATGGGTAATTGAGAAAGCTAATAGCTGGTCATCTGATATGGTAACTAGAATAATTCTGGGGTAGAAGCAAGTTGGACTCTGGGAAGGAAAATGTCTGTCATTCTTAACAATTTCACCTTGTCAGTACCTCTTGTGTTATGAGACCTGTAACATTTCTTTCACCCTCCATGTATTTGTAACTAGGTTAACACTCCAACAAAGACCTATGGGATGGGAAAAGGCCGAGCAGCTGATCTGAAATACATTGAAGCTTGCGCTAGACGAATTGTACAAAATTCAAATGGCTATAAAATTGTCACTGAGAAAAGCACAGTACCAGTACGTGCTGCAGAGAGCATTCGTCGAATATTTGATGCTAATACTAAGCCTAACTTGGATTTGCAGGCAAGTGTAATCTTTGAGTTGTGTATTTAAAGGCTGGTGGTTGCTTTTGGCTTTTATCTGTTGTTCTTTATTCCTGTGCCTCTAGGTGCTGTCTAACCCAGAGTTCCTTGCAGAAGGAACAGCCATCAAGGACCTGAAGAACCCAGACAGAGTGCTTATTGGTGGAGATGATTCTCCAGAGGGACAGAAAGCTGTCCGTGCTCTTTGTGCTGTTTATGAGCACTGGGTGCCCAAAGAAAAAATCCTCACAACCAATACTTGGTCATCAGAACTTTCTAAACTGGTTAGTGTTACTCACTGCTGTTGTCTGCAATGAGCAAAGGGTGTAACTGAGATAAAGCTCAGAAGCACAAGTTCACTGATGCTGAGTGATGCAGCTAGGAAAGACATGAGGTTGGGAGGACCCAGTATGTGTATCAAAGTATCTTCTTCTTTTTTTCCAATTATCTCAGCTGGGCTAATAGATGATACTAACTTTCCATGAAATCCTTTTCTCACTTTTATTGCTGTGTTACTTATTACTAAGCCAAAACTTCCAGTGCTGCAAAAACTGGTTACCATCATAAAACAGTTCAAACTCTGCAAGTTAACCATTAAATTATTTTCCTTAGATCCCATTAACTGGCATTTATGTATTAAACTAGTTATGTTACCATTTTGTATCTCAACAGAGTTACATAGATGCTAAAGTAATCCTTCCAGTAGTAACTCCCTTCAGTCTGTGGACCTCTTGGTTTCTGGAAAAATCAAGTTCTCTTTACTATGTTTTTTATTTACAGGCAGCTAATGCTTTCCTTGCCCAAAGAATCAGCAGCATTAACTCAATCAGTGCTCTGTGTGAAGCTACAGGAGCAGATGTTGAAGAAGTAGCAAGAGCTATTGGAACAGACCAAAGAATTGGAAATAAGTTTCTCAAAGCCAGTGTTGGTAAATGAAAAATTCCACCCCCGCCACCACCCCCCCTTCTTTTTTTTTTTTTTTTCTTGTGGGCTTCTGTTTAACAGTGCAATAGGTCTACTAGTAGTGTTTTGAAGTAAGTGATCTGATACTCCAAAATCTTCTACAGCATGAGTGTGTGAAAATATTGCTGCAGAGTACTAGCATAAATCAGTTTTTCTGGTAAAATGTCTAGGACTGAGGTTGCTGTAGACACTGGCAATCTAAAACCCAGGATTTCAGAGTGCATGGTTTATCCTGCCTGGGACACTGGAAAGAAAAGCTGCAACTTTATTTTTCTGAAGCACCACTGATGATAGTGCTCTCCAAGATGTCTTCCCAATTGTAACTGCTGCAATTTTCTTTGGGAGTTGCTGCCAGTGGCCTGAGGAAAGGGATGTCTCTAGGTCAGAATGTGTGATGGCAACTTCTAATTTGTAGGATGAATTCAGTTGTTTAGATTTTCTAGAGAGTAAGATGTGATAAAGTGGTGATCAGTACAACAAACTTTCAAACTTACGGACAAAGACTAAAGTCTATCTGTATGGCTACAGTCTTCATGATAGAAAGAGAGTGTGACTTTAAAATAACCTTATTAAATATAACCTTTCCTAGAGTCTATGCAATAATGAAAAGTAGATAGTAAATACATTACCAACATTTCTATTAGGTTATTATAATTCCTTCTACAATGTGTTGCTTCTGGGACTCTGCTGAGCAAAGTTCTAGGGGTCAAGGATCCTTCTGTTAATTGTCTCAGTTCTCCTTTAGTCAGCTCTGGTGATCATTTGGTTCTTGGCAATGAGTAGATAACCATTTGGAGGTGGGGGAGGAAAGAATCTGATCTTAACATACTTGTTCTGAGAAATATTAATCTAAATCTCTAGGTGGGGGGAGAGCAAACCCAGGAGCTTGTCCACCCACTTGTAATAATAAAAAACTAGGGGCTATCTTACCATATGTTTCCCTGAGACTGGATTAAAACTTCCATTGACTTCAGTGGGACCTGAAGCAGATTTTAAGGCTTCTGTAATTGACAAAGTAAGTAGGTCCAGGAGTTGGAGTTTGAGACATTCTTAAGGTTTTCATTTGCTAGCAGTGAAATACTGGGAAAAATTACAATGCTGACTATGTCAATGATTGCCAAAAACTACTTGATTCCAAAGATGGGGTTAGAATAGTACCTCAGTCACCTGCAAAACAACCATTTTCTCTTTCAGGGTTTGGAGGTAGCTGTTTTCAGAAGGATGTCTTGAATTTAGTGTACCTCTGTGAGGCACTGAACTTACCTGAAGTAGCCCGCTACTGGCAACAGGTACAAGTTTGTCACTAATTTTTTTGAGGGGGTGGTGTTTCTTCAGTATTCAGCTTTCAGGCATTGAGCTTTTGAGCATTGTCCACATATAATCTGTGTTTCAGCTTTAAGGAGCAGATACCTTAATGTTGATTATCTTTACATTTTAGGGCCCTCAGCCTAACACTGGCATTTGATACTCCTAGGTGCTTAGGCTTTTTTGGGGTGAATTAAGTTGTCTGGATCAAATGGATTGGGAAGTTGTCTAGAAGTAGCAGTAGAAAATGTGAAGTAGAAGCATGTCTGGACTCCTGTCTTCCTCTTGCACTTGGTTATCTCTGTCCACTTTGAATTCAGAGCTTATGATCTTTTCCTCAGGGTCTACTTACACAGTTCCTCTTCTTTCGGAACTTGGCAGAACTTGCTGTTCTTTTAAATAAATGTGGTTGCTGCTGTTCCCTGGTTAATGTTAGGAATGGTTGGGAAGATGTGGATGCTCTCAGGCCTAGCACGGATGCAGCAATACCAGGATGCTCAGTCTGTACTAGCAAGTGTTTCCCTATTAACCAGTGAAAACACCTCACCCTTCTTCCTAGTCCTGACTGAGGAAGCAGCTTTGACATATGTGGTATGATCAAAAGAACAGCTTAGGCTGTGGTGATCGAGTACAAGGCTGCCTAGAAGGTGCCCCCAGAATACCAAGCACATGATTTGCCTACCTTGTTAGCAGCTTTCCTTTTTTTTTTTTAATCTTCCTTTTGGCTAGCCTTTTTCCCCCCCTCACTTTTCTCCATCCCACACTGCTGCCAAATAAACAAACTGCCCACAATTACTTTTTCATCATTGGTCAGTTGTGCCACATCCATATTGAAGTCCAGTATTTCTTCCACCATTACCTAGGTCATCATGGCCACATGGCACTGTTGATAGTATTATTTAAGCTCTGTTGGCTTCACAAGGTTCTATTCCCCCAAAAGTCCCTGATACTCCCTTCCAGTTGTCTGAAGCTTGGCTTGATCTCACTCATAATTCCCCCATAACTGCTTGTAAAACTCAGTCATCTCTCATGGTGCTATATGTGACCCTTGTCAGATTCTTACATTATCTGTGATGTCCAGTAGCTTTCTACATCCCATTTAGATAGCTTAACCTCCAGCCAGGGGCTAGTCAGTGGCATAGTTACTTGCTTGCAACTATAACTCTTACATTAATTGCTTGGAACAAGGAAGACATGGGTTTTATGCTGCCTACCTCTGATGAGATTCAGACTGACATCTTCCTTAAAAATGTACTTCATTAGGATAGGTCTAGTCCGTGGTGGAGAGGCTTGCAGTCCCATCAGTGAAGAGAGACTTAACATACTGCATGAACCTTGTGCAAGCATCCAGGAGAGGTTTGGTTCAGTGTAGGACTTGGATGCATTGGCACAGTAGGAAGGAGAAGGAGCCATAGGTTCTGACATTTGCTTCAAAACTACTGCTTTTACTCACTATAAGGTGTAAGCAGACAACAGACAAGCCCTGGAGCTGCAGGAGCAAACCATGTTACCTCACTGATGATCTGATGAATAGGGAAAAATAAATACTGTCTTGAAAGAGAAATTGGTTTGGCTCGATCCTTTATGATCACAAGGGTCCTTCTCAAAAGGCAACCTACTCGGTACCTTGGCAACCCAAAGGCATAGGAACACTTACAGTTTGTGTGGAGGTGGTTTTTTATTTAATAAAAGCCTAAAAGGTTACATTGTTAATGTAAACAAACTAGTTTAAAGTGCTTTTAATGCTTTTATGCTCTCTTGCTCTGTTTTAAGAGCAATTCTTTGCAGTGTTTCTATATGGCAGTCTTTCCAGTCCATGTTGAACACTGACTAGCTGGGGGAACCTACCTTTCCTATTCTACTAGTGATCTGGTGCCCTCTGTGTGTTAAGGGCTAGAGATCAAAGTATGAAGCAGGCTGGAGGAAAGTACAGGAACAATCAGAGTGAGTTAACCCACTTTCATGTAATAACAAAAGTGAGGCGCTTAATCTGGTTTAACCACATTAGTTTTGTGTATTGAAAACGGTTAGTGTGGATTAAAAAGGCTAAAAATGTTCTCACAGTTGTTTATACATGGCACATAAGGAAGTGTAGATCTGGCAATGGGATGTCCATGTGACATCAGGTACTCTTAACAATGAAACTACTTTCCATTCTTCTGCCTAGAATACAGTAAGTTGTAGATTTTTAAAAAAGCAATCTGAAAAAATCCTAGCCTTTGAGCTAGATAATACATGATAGTATGTGTGTATATGCATCTACAGTCACTGATTAAAAGAGAATTTGATAAATTAACTGAATTTAATCTTCAGGTTACTTATGATACTGAGTAAAAATACTTAGCTTTCTCTTTTAAGACTCTATTAAACTTCTGTGTGGGTAGCTTGGCTTGATTGCTAGAAGAATCTGTTTATAGTTTAAAATGGCTCCCTTCTGTACCATCATGCTTTATGTGATTTCAGGTAATAGACATGAATGATTATCAGAGAAGACGATTTGCTTCCCGCATTATTGACAGCTTGTTCAATACTGTCACTGATAAGAAGATTGCTATTTTAGGGTTTGCATTCAAAAAGGATACTGGGGACACAAGGTAAGAAAGTGAATTCAGTTCACTGATGTGGATTCCCTACACTTGTCACCAGCTATGCAGCTAACCCCTGCCCCCCCTAACTGAAGTGCATTAATAAAAATAGATCAGATATGGGACCCTTAACCTCTTGTGACTGAATTGGTTTGTAGCAAGGATTAGTCTTTCTTAAATGGGTGAGACGATTGATTCTTGACTTCTACAACATACCTGAATCACTCAGAAGCTGGAGCAGATAACTCTAGTCGTTAATAACTTGCATAAACAAAGATAGATTTTGACAGAGTCCTTCCATTCTCCACAGAAAAGAATGCAACGTTTTAACAACTGGTTCTAAATTGCTACATGAAGCCAAAGTTTCAGCTCTGTTTCCCATAGGTGGTTAATTCTGTTTTCCTGTAAAGGTCAAACTTGATACAACTCTCCAACTGCAGTTTGTGGGGAATGCTTGTAAGCTTGATGCCTTGTTAATTATGGTCTATAGGAGTCCTGGAGCTTAGTATCTTTCTTGCATGATTCAGCGAGAGAGATGTAAATTTGTTTTTCATATTACTCTCCTTGGTGCCCCTCGAGATTTCAAGTTTGCTGCTGGCATGGATTACCACTAGGATGTTTAATGTAAAACTGGTATAAAAGCTCTGACATTGCATATCATGACACATGAAGACTTTCATTACTTAGAACAGGCCACCTGGTTCTTTAACTGATTGATTCACTTCCTTAGAGAGTCATCCAGTATCTACATTAGCAAGTATTTAATGGATGAAGGAGCAAAGCTCCATATCTATGATCCTAAAGTACCTAAGGAACAAATCATCTTGGATCTCTCACATCCAGGTGTCTCAGAAGATAACCAAGGTAAGAATACTCACGTAAAGCTTATTTCCCGCCTTCCCTCCACACCCTATTCTCAAAATACATAAGGTCTGTTTAAATACTATAAATTCATTTTCACATCTTCACCTTGGCAATAATGTGCTGTTGGTTACACTTATTAGAAGATTGTCATAGCTCAGAGGATTACTGTAACTGTTCTCCCATTCCCCATAGCTTTTATAGATAAATGCTAATTCTGTGCTATTGTATATTTTTCTTTTGATAAATACTCATTTGAATACATGCAAAGAATTTTCTCTCTGCATAATTGAAAGGAAGAGAAAGAAGAATGTCCAGAAGTAGGAGAGACTAGTGTTGCTTTGTCAGCTCCTTTGTGTCCTGAGTCCTATCTTGCCTTAATTCTTGCTTCCATATCTAAAGTAGAAATAAAGAAATAATTTTGGAATTCACTGTAGAGCATTCTGCCTTCCCTCATATCACTTCCAAATTCATTTGTTCCCTTAAATTCAAGACGACTTTAAAGTAATCATCTATGACTAGAAAAATCTTGGGGAGAAGCAGGATGTATTTGGGATTTTTGTTTGCTTTTCTTATTGGGGAGGGGGACAAGGCTAGGTCAGGCTTCTAGAGGTGAAGAGAATGGAGGAAAATGAGCTGTGATGAAGAGTGAAGGGTGTACATTATTTGACATGCCCTTGAATTAGAGGGGGAGGGGAGGGTTGCCTCTAGGCAGCTGCTGAGGCAGTCAGAGGATGAAGGCAGCCCCTAGTGAGCGATGTGTATCTTCTTTAGTGTGAACTGAGTGTTAAACAGGATCTGTGTTGTGCTACTATTGTACAGACAATGACCTTTGTGAGAGTTGGCATTTGAACACTCCATAGTAACTTCTAATTCTAGAGATGCTCTTGTGACAGCTTAAATCAAATTTGAATGCTTAACTTCAAACATTTTAGTGACTCTATTCAGATGCCAGGTACAAGCTGCTTTCATTTAAATAAGTGAAATCAAAGTGACAAATGTCTTGATAGAAAATATCTCTAGGTGGGTGAGTGACTTGAAACTCCTTGTTTGTGTAGGGGAAGGAAGGAGACTCATTTGCCGGGAGTGTGCCAGATTGATGCTAAAGATGTATGCAGAATAAGACTTTTATTTTTCTTCTGTTACAGTGTCTCGGTTGGTCACTATCAGTAAAGATCCTTATGAAGCCTGTGATGGAGCTCATGCCCTTGTAATTTGCACTGAATGGGACATGTTTAAGGTAAATGTTATCTTAAATTTAAACTAAAGAGAAAAAGAGGGAGTGTTATGCTACTTATTTATTCTCTCTGGTTTAATTGCCCTTTACAGGAGTTGGATTATGAACGTATTCATAAGAAGATGCTGAAGCCTGCATTTATCTTTGATGGTAGGAGAGTTCTAGATGATCTTCACAATGAGCTACAAGTCATTGGCTTCCAGGTAATTAGCTGGGTGATGCTGCTTTTTATGCTTCTTTCCTTCTGCTTTTTTCCCTCTTGCTCTCTCTCCATCTGCAATGACTGAGTAGCAAGGGAAAAAAAACTCTTCAGATGAGGATTTAAATCTAAACCTGTCCATACTTAAGTCTCTCTGCTAGTGCTGTCTTCCTCCATTATTGCCTTACTATTTTCATAGACTGATGCTCTGTTAAAACCCAAGCTACATCAGACCATCAACTTTCAGGAGGATAAGCATGCCTTAGAATCATAGAATCATTTAGGTTGAAAAAGACCTTTAAGATCATCAAGTCCAACTGTAAACCTTTGGACTGGGAAATCATGGAGAGTTATGAGATAGATGTAAAAAACCTGCTAAATCTCACTCCTAATTTCATTCTAGGTAATCAGCAGGATATTTGACTCCAAAACTAGCCCCTTCACAGTTTCCTCAAGTCCTGTAGTTTTTGCTGCTACCACCCAGCAGAAGGGCTAAGCTTGGCATTTGGTGTATGTTTTAACCTGTGCTACAGCCCCTACCTGGAAACCTTATTTTAACACCACTGATCAAAAAAAGCAGCCTTTAAAATTGACAGTAATGGGATAGCAAAACACGCCTCCTTCAGAAGTAAATGTAAGCTGTAAACACCCCTTTTTTTGTTCTTCACAAAAGACATAAGCAGGTTTACCCAAGGCATGAGAATGAGACTTAAAGCCAGACAAGGTGTAATGCAGGTAACAAATGTTTATCAGCCAGTGAGATCCTCCACTTGGACAGACTACTAAGAGAAGTTTCGGGCTTTTCTCCCTGAGGTCTGCACAAGGCTGGCTGACGTTGGAGATGAAAGCATTGAACACAAAGATGTATCTGAAGATAAGTCAGTGAAATGCTAAAGTGTTACATAGGAGGCTGGAGGAGATGATTGATTAGTCCTTTGTGATTGATTAATATCAACCAGAAGATCAAAACAATGGTGTCTGTTTACACCAAAGAGAGGACCCAGAAGCAAATGCTTAACTTCTCAGCTAAGCATTTTGCTAAGCTAATAGCAAATTGTATATCAAATTATAATCAGTGTGATATTTCTCCTAGAAATTTCTCTTCTGAAGTCTGTGGCTTAAAGACTTTCCAAATCAGAGATTGTACCTTTGTGTTTCATAGCTCTTGGGTGACTTTTCTGTGAAATGCTAGTTGAATTTTTAACCACTTCATGAGTTTGCCAACCAGAATCCAGTTTGTCATCCAGGTTTATTATCCAGATTTTTCATCCAGAAAGCATTCAACAATTTACCTATATTCTCTGTATAAAATAATAAAAAGGATTTTGTCTTACATGGACAACCCCACAATTTAATTTTTTAGCTCGCCAGTCTTTTTCACTGCCCTTGTTAAAAGTTATTGCATAGACAGCTTGATGCCAATAGCAATTCCATTACATACAATCCAAATCTATGAATTTGGGCAGGTTTTATTTTATTTTTTCTCAAACTGGATTTTAAAGAACTTTAAACACACCTACCATTTCAATTATAACCTGTTTCCACAGTGGAGGCTTAATTCAGGAAATATGAATGTGAAACTCTAATTCTAGGTAAAGTAATTTCTGATTTGAGAAAAATAACTGCTCAGGTCTCAAGTGGGGGAGGCAGAATAAGCCTTGACTGAAGGGCTTGAAGCACTTCTAGCATAGACAGTTTGACTAATACTAAAATCACCAAATCCCTGAATAATCTGATAGAAGCATCTCAGCAAGACATAATCAGAACAAAATCTACAAGCCAGATCACATGCATGTTTCAGTTGTTTCATTCTGTGTACTCCTGACTACTGTGATTACTTGCATAATGGCTATAGGCTTTCTCTCTTGATATTTTTTTCCCCTACTTAAACTATACACAGCCTGTTTGTGAACAGGCATGTATAAATTGATTTAACCAGTCAACTGAAACTGTTATGAGCAAATATGGTGCATACCACTCACATGACTGTTTAAACAACTCTTTTCAGAGTTAACTCAAATGTCTGTCTAGAACATATTCATTGAATTTCTGTTAAATTTAAAATAGTTGAAGTATTTTGTCTTTTGGTGCTTTGCATCTGACCTGCACTACTTACTCAAGAGGAAAGCTACAGCTCTCCTTATTTACTGGGTGTCTGAACTGTTTTGCTAGTTGGTGTTTTGTCTTCTACAAGCTCTGTCCTTAGTGATTTACATTAGTCTTACCTAGAAATTAGGGGAACCTGTCTAATTCCTTGAATTTTGCAGTACCTGGCACTTATGTTTGTTGGCTTTGTTACACGCTTTCTCTTATACAGAGTTAGCTGCCTTTAGCCTTTCAGAGTTGTATTGTTTCAAAAACAATCCACTGCATTAAGGAGGGGAAAAAGCTTCTTCTAATGTACTGGGTATAAATTTTTAGACAAAGGAAGCCAAACCCACATTTTATGAATACCTAGAAACATTTTGTGGTATTGTACTGACAGTCCTATGGAAGCACATAAATGTTCAAATTAGCAAGGCACAGTTTTAAATAAGCAAAGCAGACACCTGTGAAAGGCTGGGTTTTTTTAAAACTCTTTGCAACTCCAATCCCAGAAACTGTTCCTGGGCACACCATGCTTTGTGGCTTGTATTGTTCTAGTGTTCATGAAATGTAGTCATGGTCCTGGATTTAATTTGTAGATTCCTTGTAAGTTGACATGATTATGTTAGCTTGCCACACTCACTTGTTAAATGTGTTTTCTCTTTCAGATTGAAACAATTGGGAAGAAGGTGTCAGCCAAAAGAATTCCTTTTGCTTCTTCATGTGAAATTCCCAAGTTCAGCCTGCAGGACCCACCTGTCAAAAAGCCTAGAGTATAGTGTTTAATAGGTACTGAAGGAATTCTGTGGACCTTCTTAGTGATAATAACTGTAAGCCTATGCTTTTTTTAAGGAAAGATATTTTTCATAAACTAAACCAATTTTACATTAGAAATGGTACCTGGTACATGTGAATTCAGTCTATTTTCAAATTTCTATTTTTATAGCAATTTTTTTGGTTACTGAAGATGGTACAGACCTGTTTTTAATAATGAATCATCTTTTAAGTGGAAAAGTTACCTTCAAACTGCAGATTTCTGCTTCCAGAAATGTTCCTAAACTGCACTTTAAATGTTTCAAGTGATAGGAAAGCAAAAGAAATAGAATATCTTTTTACTTTAGTCCAGTTATGGACAGTGATCAGGAACTCTGGTCTCAAAAATTTTTTATTTTCCTTTGGGGTAATTCTTTGCCCAGTTAAATGCTTGCTCTAACTGGTGTTGAAGTCAAAAGATAAGTTCTAAGTTAATTTGGTAGGATTTGTGTTGAGCCCTAAAACAGAGCTGACTGCAACAATAATACCCCCGTCTTGGTTGGGATCAGTTGGCACTGATGCAGTCTAAACTGCATCTATTGGGAGGCCAGATAGTTCTGCAGGCATCTATCATGTAATTAATGACAGTGGACTAGGAGCTATGAACTGATCCACTGGCTTTTCTTCACTCTTAATTCTTTGGTTGTCTTGCCTACATTCCATGTGCAGTCACATAAATTATTGATCTAATCAGATTCCTGGGGCAAGCTTTTCCTCAGTTACAGCAATATAACTCATCTTCAGCAGAGGAGCATTCTGCTTGTTCAAACTTGGAATTTAAGCAGAATTACCTTAATTTGGCATCAGTCCAAGTAGAAAGCAAATATTGGCTTCAAAGCTACCTGATGGTTATCTTTTTCCTTCCTTTCTGCTTATGTACTTCATCTGAAAGCAGCTTTCTTAAAGAATCTGCAAAAAATTATTCTCTGCTGTTAAGAAATTATTAAAAATAAAAACTCAGCCCCATAAATTAGTCAGCTTGCTACCTCATTTAATTAGCAGGAATGAATACTTCCTATGTTATCTTGATATTTTTACCTTTATTATTACTTTATTTCTACTTGTTTTTATTATTCTCAATTGGCCAGTGCTATTAAAATCCTTGAGATGACAGAGTTTGTGTTTGGCTTGTTGCATGGGGTTGTGAAATGGAGGGGAGGATAGAGAAGGATGACCATGGACAGATTTCAGACTAGAAGCCATAGATGTCTTAGTTGAATAATAGCAGTGTTGGGATGTTGGAGAATTGTCCTGTAACTAGTCACATAATATCTTCTGAATTTGTTCAACAGGTGTGCCTTCAAGTATGCTAGTTCAATAGTTAAACAGGGCATAAGGTCAGTCTCACCTTGGTAATGAGTACTATTATCATAACTATTTACCCACAGAAATGTAGATACAATTTAAGCTTTAGGACAGCTATTTGAAGATTTGAGGACCTTGTCTACCCAAATTGTTATACAAAACAGGACAGTGTTCGTTATCTGACTGAAATAGCTGTACCCTTGAACCAGATGCTTTCAGATTCTGCATGTTAATGGCTTCCACACAGGGACTTATTATGCATTGATCACTCAGCACTTTGGGCAAATATGCCTCAAGCTTTTTGTCCTATCATAAGATTCCTCTGTGAGGATCGCATCAGAAGCCACTCAAAGTGAGTGAGAATTATGTGGGCTTAAAATCAAACTGTCATCTTTCATCATGCCATGTCTTCTTGATTCACTAGCGCTACTTCCATACAACACCCACAGAGCAGGGACAGCCCTGTGATACAGTTGTGGTATTTGTAAGCATTGTAATCCAACTGGTAGATCACCCTGTCTTTGCAGGTAGGCATCCTCTCGACTACCTCTGCCCTCATAGCACCTGAGAGGGCGGGGTGGTCATTTCTCCTTGGGGATTAAGAGGGTACTGACAAGTTGTGCTTGAAGGATCTCTTGTCCTGAACTATGTTCAGGGTAGCACAGCACTTCAGGGCTCACCTTAACAGGGAGGGTGAGTAGAAGCCTCAGAAAATCAGCATGCTTTTCAGAAACTTGCACACAGCTGTAATAGTAGTGCCTCTGTATGGGACCTGTCCTCAGCAGTTTGAAGTGGATGGGTGAACCACTAAACTCGAGTGAAGCATTCCTCCTGTTAGGAATGTGCAAGGCTGGTCAGTGTTCCTGAGGCTTCCTGTGGCTTTTCACATGCTGTCCCAAGGAGACAGAAGAACTAGGTGCTATACTCCTATTCCTACCCTGTTTCTCCTGCAGACTTAGTCAAAGCCTGGACAGTGATTTAGAGCTTAATCATAAAGATGACAAAGAATGGGCAAGTCTAACTTGCCTTTCTTAGGAAATGGGGAGCAGCAGACCCTTTCTGAAGAGTAACAAGGAGTAAAACTGGTACTGGCATTTGCCTTGCTTTCTTGGAGAGTCAGCTTATTTAGTTTCTTGGTGGCTGCATTCTTTTAGTGGGACACTGGGATTGTGGGATGAATCCAGTCTGAACAGCTGGTGGAGCATGCCTTCAGGATACTGCAATACTTACCTTGCATATACACAAGAGAACCTTACCACAGGCCAAACGAAAGAGCTTTGGAAGCTTTGGCAGCACTGTGAATCATAAGCCATCATCTTCAGAGTACAGTTGCCAGGGAAATCGGAATTGGAGATGACTTGCATTCCTGCTTTGAAGGCTTGAGTAGTGCATGTAAGAGATGGGTTTTAACGCTATTGAGTCTTTGTCTATGGGATCTTAGAGCATGTAATTCTTGATGAGAACTGTGTAATATGAGTAATGGACTCCTGTGCTCTGAAATTCTTTTTTATGGGGTTCTTAATAAAATGCAATCCCACAGTAACACTGCTTTTCACTGCAAAAATGTGAATAAAACAGCTGAAGCAAATCCAGCTTTAATACAAGCCTATGAATAGAATGATACAGACTGCATAAATTAACTCTTAGCCAAGATGTGCATAGACAAATTGTAAATGCCAGGCAAGATGTACCGTTTCTTCTGTGTAACTGTGTTCAACCCTTTATACAGCTAAAACTAGTCTAGTTCCAGGCATATGATAGCCAAGAATATTGCGAGTGAATAGAACAAACACATTTTTGACCAAGACTAGTTAGTATAGGAGCAGTTAGTGGTGAGATTTTTATACTGGCCAACATGTTTATGCTTCTATCACTTGAGGTTCTTCTGTTGATCTAAAATTCATAGTAGCACTCTAATCTTGCTCAACAGCTAAAGCTTGAAATAAATTGTAAAACAATGCATGCAGGAAAGCATAATGGGTTATCTGATTGATTTAGGAATACTGGGGTCAGTTTTCATTACTTGCTTTTTCTATTCCAAGCTGAGAATTTCTATTTCAAGTTGAACATCTGCAATAAGTTGCCACGTGTTGTAGTAAAGAAGCATAAATATTTGCCATCCTTTTAAAGGAAGGGGACACCAATATTAATTATCGATCAAGTGGGGAAAAAAATTAAAAACTATTCTTAAGTGAACACTGGCTTTGTTGATTTAACCTACAGACTTGAAGTCACTGCAAAATGCAGCAGTTCTCTAGTCAGCTGTGTAACACTTAATTATGCTTCACACAGTGTAGCAGATTGATGTAATGATGCTAAAAAAGGCTATTCATTCTTTTAAAGCGTCTGTGTGAACTTGAAGTCATATTCCCAAAACTCAGTTTGATGTTTTCCTGATTGCAAGGAAGATTAATGTTTCTTAAAATATTTTGTGGCTGCTTTGTGAAACAAACTGACAGAATGAAGTGATTGACATACAAAAAGAAAATGTCACTAAACATGAAACTTCATTGGAAGCAAAACTGAGATAGCACAGGTTTCATGACTGAATTTATAACCTGGAGTTCTGTGAGTCTGGTGCTTTAACATATAGATATGGAAAAAGTGAATGGGCAAGAGGGAAGGAAGAGGGTTGTAAAAGCAGGATTTCCTAACTAGGAGAAGAACTTTAGGATTTATCCTCAAAAACCCTTAAAAACGAAACACCCCTCCAAGCTATGAAGTCAAAAATTGACTGCTTTCATTAGAAACCTCAGCAAAACATGCAGTTAGAAAACAGCTTATGTAGCTTCTGAAACTTGGTACCAGCTGGCAGACAGTTGTGTAAAAGCATGACATCATCTTCCAAACCACCCAGCAGCAATTCATAAGATAATTCTAACATGAAATAACATTGGACTGTGTTTTCAGAAGCATTATTTCTCCCACTGTAAAGAAGTAATGGATAATTACTGTGCAATGTCCTCTTGTTCCAGTTTGATAATAGCTGTATGGCTCAATTCCTTTTTCCATATTTCTGGTGTTGATATGCTGAAAGAGCAGTAACTTGGCAAAAGCTACAGTAATATTCTGTTAAATCTGCTCTGTAGGCTAAGTCAAAACCATTATTTATAGTAGGACCTCTAATAAAGGCTGGCAGCTGGTAAATGTGTGGGTATCCTGGAGTTAATGTTGCACCCCTCCCTGCCTGCTGCTGGGGAGTATTGGATTTCCTTACCACAGCTGATAACCTTCCACTGCTCTGGTATTCAATGTACCCCAGCTGAAGCAAGGCATTTTTGGCTCAAAGTATGCCTGGTCTTTCCAAGACTAGTGGTCAGACTTTTTTTTTTCCATTTAAATTTTAGAATTCATTATTAATATTTTTTTAATAAAAAAAAAAGCCTTGCCTTTCTCTCTGCTTTTACAAAGTACAGCTATTATGACTTACGTTTCTCTGTTCTTCCCCTCTGTTCCTCATGGCTCAGGCTTCTCTTTCCCTAATTTACACTTCCATTATGCTGCTTAATTAGTACATTCCTTCTAGCTTAAGGCTATTTGTCTTCATAATGCTTTAATACTGCTATACTTCATACTTCATTTTGTGAAGTGTCAGTTGTGCATCACTGCCCTCAGTGGTATAATCTGATTTTTGTTGTTCATGACAATATCAAGTTTCTCCTATATATTAACTTGCTAATTAGCTGTCTTCCTTCTACTATCCTGCTGAGTTGGGGGTGGGTGGAGGGTCCATTCTCGTTCATATAGATTACAGTAGTTTAGTAAAAGTACTACAGCCAGCCATAGGATTACCTGCTCGGTGATGGGACTAGATAACAAGTTCCTGGCACGTTTCCCAAATAACCTCATGAAGATACAGCTGAAGCCAGTTCAAATATGTTATCTAATGTCTGTAGCAGACAACTGAGAATTATTAGGGAGAGGTGCATTTTGAACTATCAATCATGATTGTAAAGAGAATTTATAGCTGCTAGTATACCATAAGCCATGTTTTCATTTCTGCTTGAGCTTAGTACAATATGTAATGCATTTCACATTTCATCCACAATGCAATTTACTTCTTTGCATTCAGATTTAACAGCCAGACCAGGTCTTAAGGGGGCAGGTAACTAGACTGATTAAACACAACCACCACACCCTTAGACTGGGTTTTTAACTCCCCTTTAATAAGACAATACCTATGGAGTAGAAGCACAGTACAGAATAGCAGCACTTCTGCATACCCAATACCAAAGAAGCACCTGTGCAACTCAGGTTTGTTACAGTCACATACCCAAATGAGGGGTGGCTCTATTTATGCTGTTACAGCAACTCTGATTTTCCATATGGTTTAAATTATATGGTAGCTACACAAGGTTAATTGTCTTGTCACAAAGCGCTCTTGTTTTCTTCAACTTGATACCTTGTGTTTACCAAGGCTCACACTTAAGAGACATGCAAGCACCTGAAAAGCATTAGCTATCATCAGAATGGTACAGCTCATTTTCTTAAGCTGCAGGTAAGAGATGCCATCTCTTGAAGGAGTATTACCAGCACTTACTCTGGTATAGTTCAAGATAGCCCTAATCTGGTCCTTTGCCCCTGCAAGCTTGTGTTACATAATGGTAAGATACATCAAAATATCAGTACCTTTCAAATTTATTATTATCTGTTAGCATCTTCACAAGTATTAACTGCAGCAACACTGATGGTAGTATCAAACCTGTTTACTTAAATCTGTCAAAATTTTGGTTTGGTTTTTTTTTTTTAGCTTACATTTCTTCCACCTCAGTTCCATCACTCTTCCAAATCAGTTCTATCTCCTGGCTTCTTGCTGAACACTAGAAGTACTATGTAGTTGTACCCTTGCCAGAAGAAATGAGGTAAAATAATGTGAAGTGTTTTGGTGAGAGAAAAGTGTTCTGGAAAGATAGTAAGTTTATTCATACATCCACCATCTGGTCTTCCGCATTTCTGGAACTGAGTATAATTATGCGCTGAAAAAAGGATCCTTAAAACTGGCTGCTTTAAATAGGTTCACTCTCATTTTCAGATGGCTTTTGTCTTTCTTTTTTCTACTAAGTTCTTCAAGAAGAATTCACCTAATTAAAAGGCAAAAAAGCACCAAAATGATTTGTAGGTATTTCAGTGAAGTAAAGCAAAACAATACAAATCCTTACTTAATGCAAGTATTCTATTCTACAATACAATTGTCCTTACCAGTACTTTATAATAATTCAATTCTATACAACAGCACTTTCAGCATACATATATACAGCAGGGACATAAAAAAAAACCCCAAACCAAAACCCATAACCCAACACACAACCCCTTCACTCCCCAAATCCTGATCTTTCTCAGGCCCAATTTTATGAAATAGCTCTGGTTCTTTGTACTTTCCAACAGGCAAAAGTGAATTGATTTAATTAAAAATTAATTCCTATTTCATAAAGTTATCAGCAACTTACAGTGAAACCTGCTATAAATCTCGTTTGAGCTGGCAGTAAAACAGTCCAAGAAGCAAGGTGCCCCAGATGTGTCTTCTCTGCCCTCTCTTTAGGAAAAAGCAGGATGTTGGATCTACACCACAGTTCCATTAATATCAGCTGCTACTTAGTACTCAGTGCTCTGTCAGAAAAAGCACTGCCATAAATGTGTCTAATTATTTCTAAGGCACTGTAAATAAATTCTGCCTAAAACAACAAAACTGCATCACAAAGGGCCCCATTAAACCCCGAAGCATCCAAGAGGTGGAACGTAAAGGAAGTCTTGCAAATTGGGTACCCTTTATCCTGCCCCATGTATTAAGTAGAGTACAAACTAGGTTTGGTACAAAAAATTAGCTTAAGCAGCACAGCAGCTGTACAAATACCAATTACTGTCATACTGATGCCTTTACATGACCTATAGAAGGTAGTAAGTGTAAATTAAAAAAAAAAAAGATGACTATATGAGGTGTCCTTGAGCTAAGGTGAGCTTTGTTGCTTATTACTTCACCATTTTAACTTTATATAATGTTATGTGCTGAAGAATCTAATGCTTTTCAGTAGTTTACCTGCTTTATAGGAGGAGCGCACTAAAGGCCCACTAGCAGTGTAATGGAATCCAAGATCATTTCCTACTTTTTCCCAGTACTTAAATTTTTCAGGAGTTATGTACTCCTCAACCTGAGTGAAAAGAATTAATTTTGATCAGGTATTAATGCAAAGGAAATGGCTATAGCTAGCATGCAGTGACATGAAACACAGTTATATGGCAAGTTCAAAATTTTACACTCCAAAACTTTCAGCAGTCAAGTCACAAACTGAATTTTCTCTCTGCTTTCTACCAAAAGAATACATTTTATTTGCTTTTCAGATTTAGCTGAAAAGTTTAGAATTTAATTTCTAGTTGTTGCTTTATCATTTTCTTGACTCTGTTTTTGAAAGGGCCTTTCGAGCAAACATTTTTTTCCTCCACGTTACTATATAAAAAAACCCCAATAGTCCTACAAATCTCTTCACTAACAGTTATTTCAGTGAAAGATAGTAACAGAACAAAGATTCAAGCTCTGGACAGATTACAGAAGGAGAAAATGGTCATTTCCTCAGCTTAAAGTGGCACCATTAAGGGAGACCCTATGAGAGAGTGAAAGGGAGCTGGCCTGAGCCGTTATTTTTGAGATAGATACACAGTGAGACTCTTGTTTTCCAGAATCATGCCTCAGCTCCAGCTGTCTCCCCAGCTAATAGCAACAAGTAGCAATGGGAGTCTGCAGAATATGGAAGGGATTAAATGGCTGACGTCATTTTTAGTGAAGAGTCCATAACAGATGAAGATCAGGTTAAACAAGAAAGGAAATTTTTCCCAACATCTGCAGTTAAGGTAAATATGCATATCAAGTATGAATTTGAAAGAGGGAACTTGACTGTGCAAGGTACAGACCATAGGACTGCCTATAAATTAAAGGCATTTTTACCTTTAGGTGACGTTTTGTTGGTTGCATGTACTGTCCTAGGGTCAAACAATCTACATCTGCTTCCCGCAATACTGTAAAAACAAAATTCCCTATTAGTGGCAGAAGGATCACAAGGGATTGTCAGCAATTAGAAAACACCCTCCTTCCAAGTCTGAGCAAAGGTCACTCCACAGCACCCCAAGGGGGTTACATTCTGCTCTCCAGCAAAGGAAACCTGCAACCTCCATGAGAGTAGCCTCATACCTCATTCTGAGCTCCATGCTGCTGCAAGACCTGAGCTATCTAGTTTAAAGCTGGAGAGAATACCACTGCGCTGTACTCGCTGCAGTCACGTGTCTCACTGCAGAGATGACATGCTCTTGTCTTTTTTGTCTCACAGCTTTTCATTGTGGCTTTAGGTCAGAGCCCTCATTTGACAAAAAATGGATGCGTGCACATATACTTGGCACTTCTCCACTGTTTCAAGCGTCTTCATGCTGAAAAGATGCGGGCAGTTCTAAAGAGCTATAAACCCAAGGGAAATTGCCAACATCTTTTGCCAGTTTTACACACTGAAGGAGGTATGTTTGTTTTGATGCCTGCAAAATCTCATCGACTTTGTATGCTGAAATTTGAGTATATACTAGAATCAGTATACAGCAAATGAATTCAGGTAGTCTGCTTACAGAGGGAAATCCAGACACCTGACAGTCAGCTAGCCTGAAGAATTATGTTCACCGCAGCTAGTGGGATGTTCCAAACAAAGGGATGGCTAAGGAATCGTCTTAATATCTCCATGTATCTTCTGGCTACTTGGGCTGGTTGCCCCCAAGTCAAATAGAAAGAAAAGACTGTGTTTTGGTTACATCATCACACTCACTGTTACCCTGGACTATCAGTTTAGACTGATACGGTTCTGTAAAGAAACTGGTTCAATACCAGCACATTTACCTGTTCTTTAACTTGTACCCACAGGAGGGAAGGAGAACAAAATTAGAGTAACTGAATGAATGCGGTGGGTAACACTTTGCCTCCGAATACAGCCACGAAAGTGGCCTGAAAACAAATAGCACCAAATCTGAACTTTCATACTGTTGTGGCTAGGAAATGCTAGGCAGGAAGAATGGGGAAATCAGGAACTGTAATTTTATGGCCCAGTTTGTGGGACAGCTGCAGAAAAACTAGACTATATCACTGCATTCTAATATATGGGTTGTTGTACACAAAATAAAGTACCAGGTAGACATTCTTTCAGGATATGGGAGAAATGCCATAGGATTTATCAATTTCTTCCTACAAGCAAACTGCATTCACTTGCCACTGTGAAATTTTCTCCTCTTAAAAATACATTTACATGAAAATGTAAGAACATGCTACACCTCTGAGGATAGTAACTTTTTTTGCACCTAAGCTGAAATAAATTATTTTAAACAATTAGGTCTGCTATTTCTAAAGAGGAATGCACAATAAGGCAACTATGTTGCAAGCCCACTATTTAAGTACAGCAAAGATAAGAATGTTAATGTAGTCACTCAAAGAAAGTCATAATTTCCACTGAACTCAACATGAGCTGGATCTACCTGTCAAATTGAACCTGAAAGCCATGTGAAGCCAAGTATTTCAGAAGTTCAATCCTTTTTAACCAAACTGGTCTTTTTTCCATAAAGCTTAGAAAACATCCGCGCACCAGCAAACTGATTTGCACATAGAGGCAAAGGTGCTTACAACTGTTTTGCAACGCAGTAAAATTCACAGCTGCGAATTCTGGCACGTATTTCAACACCAACTTACATTTCATTGTGGAATACACTTGTTCGTCAGTCTCGCCTAGCCCCAACATAATGGAGGTTTTAGAAATGATGCCGGGCTGGACCTCTTTAGCGTGCTTCAGCACTCGTACGGACTGCTCAAAGTTGGCTCGGGGATCACGGACCTTCCTTTTCGTATTTTCAGCAGAAGGGGGAAAAAAACACGCGCGAAAGGGTGCACGGAAGTTAGAGATGCCAAGAAAGGCGCGTCCTGCTAGTTTCTGCACAGCGAAAACGGCAACCTGGCGGTGTTGGCTGCCTAGTCGGACACCGGCCGAACGCCCCCCTCCCCCGAGGCACCACCCCACGCCCCAGGATGCGCCCCAGCCCCAGTC